CTTCGACTAAGAAAGTGGCTTGATGAGGAAGGTTCATGAAGCTGTTCTGTGTCTGGGCGTCTGTGCATCTTGGCACGCGACGACAGCAGTATCGAACGATATGGCCAGGACCACCGCAAGCAAAACAGATGGGCCGGTTATCGCGCGTTAGTTCATGTGATGGACGGGTGAGTTGAGACGGTGGTAGAAATGGGTGGAGCCCAGGCGGTGGACGACTTAGTCAGGGCTGAGGTATGCGGCAGCCCCTGGATTGGCGGGGGTTGATGTAGTTGCTGCCGCTTTAGTGCCTCAGCGCAAGTAAGAAGTGCGGTAACGGGAGGCTGCTGCAAGGGCACCGGCATAGCCTAGAAAGATTGCTCCTGAACCACATGTCGGAGCATGGGAGCCTATGGTGGTGGGTGTCACCGTGGCTGTTGCTGTGATAGCTCCTGGCGTTGAGCAAAAGGCAGTAGGGAAAGCTCCCGAGCCATTTTCTCTCGTACGAATTCTTTCATTTGTGCGAGAAGGTTTGTCTTGTCAGTCATGACGTCCAGTGCGGTTACTGGTTGGATTGTCTGGAATGAGCGTCGCGTCTGAGGTCGTTGCCTCTACAATTCATCATAGCTCTGACACAAAGCTACTACTTAGGCCCCAGTGCTCGGAAACTTCGTGAGAAGCATCTTTAAAACTTCATCGTCGACGCCCTTCATATAGTGCTGTATCTTTGCACTCTCGCTCATGGAAGCATCGACGCAGTGGCAGAGATCGATCACATTTGCTATTGATCAGGCGAAAGTTTCACCTGCCTCCTGTGCCCGTGTGTGCAGACGTTGTTCGGCGCGAATCTTCCGTAAGGCAGGGCGACCAAAAACGGCACATATCACCTCCTTAAAGGCGGACAAGTTCGCGAACTCGGTTTCGTGGTTCGTATACCCCAGCATGGCCACATTGGTGAGATAAAAACTGACAGTGCCCAACTTAGCAGCGTCATTCCACCTGTTCGGTCCACTGACTTTCTCGCATGACGACAGCCAGTCCTCCACATCCTGGTCTTCGGTGCCCGCAAAGATCGGGTGGTCGCGATGGTGAACCGGGCCGGGGCAAGTAGCGGCCGCGAGAAGTACTGTTTGTTGGGCAGCGTCACCTTGCATGGTCGACGGCAGGGTACGGAATCGGAGTTCCAGAGTGTAAACGACGTGGTTACACAGCACGATCCACCAAATGTAAAAAGGTTTATTGGGCGAAGGTAACGGACAGGGGGAATATCCGAGAAAGCCACAGGACGAGGAAGATGGTGGAGCTCGAGTGCCGATCTCGTGGTGCCCTACTTTGCGATGATGCTTGTTGTTCCCTGGTGTTGCAATAATTCCTTCACTATCTATCTATCTATCTATCTATCTATCTATCTATCTATCTATCTATCTATCTATCTATCTATCTATCTATCTATCTATCTATCTATCTATTTATCTATCTATCTATCTATCTATCTGTCTGCCTATCTATCTATCTATCTATCTATCTATCTATCTATCTATCTATCTATCTATCTATCTATCTATCTATCTATCTATCTATCTATCTATCTATCTATCTATCTCTCTAGGGCCTTTTGATAATGGTATCGGTACCAAACTCGGTAAGGCATAACATGACGTTATGACGAGCATAAGTTACCAGTCATAACATGAAAATCCTGACATGAATGTCATGAATGTCATAATTTACGTTTCATGGTGTTGCTGCTCTTGCGATGGTTTTGTTCACATGCTGCAAAACTGGTATGGTGTGCGTGTCATGGTATGACACGCACACCTCATGTTCAAGTCATGTTCTTACATGACACACAGACAAACTAGTATGCGTGTCATGTAAGAACATGACTACATGCCACACTCATGATGCGCTCGCGGCCGTTTCACTAGAGTCACATATACCAAATTCGGTATTACAGTACGCGAATGAATGACGAAGGTATATGACTAGTGCGAACGTGGTAATCATGAGATGCGTGTCATGTAACAACATGACCACATGCCACGCTCATGATGCACTGGTGGCAGTTTTGCTATCTTCAATTATGCCAAACTTAGTATTACGGGACGTGAATGGATGAAAAAGGTATGGTACTGGTGCAAACATGAAAAACATGAAATGCAGTTATTTAACAACAAGACTGCATGCTACGCTCATGATGCGCTCACGGCCATTTTGCTAACTTCAAATGTACCAAACTCGGTATTACGCAACGCAAATGCACGCCATAGGTAAAAACACATCCCAACATGATAATCATGACATGCGTGCCATGTAAAAAATTACGGCATATTCACGGGGTGAATGATGATGAATGGGCGAAGCTACGGAGGGATTCATCGGTAAACTGTGAATCTTCCGTGTAATTCGCCCAGTCGATCATCATGTAAAGACGTGAGAAACGCTGTGTGTGTATATACACAAATCAACTTTTATTTGTTCTTAGACGATGGATGGCTTGCGATGTCCCTTGCCTCGCGCGCTCGCACATCAGGATTCTGTCTGCGAGCGCGCGCTGCTGCCGCCTTGCGCTCTCTCCGCTGTGCAGCCTTATCCATCCAGCGACTCCGAGCGCGCGCCAACAGCGAACGGATTTTATTACAACGCTCCCCCTAGCGTACGTCGCCGCAGTAAATCGAACGATTGCCTTCAACCAATGACACGCGCCATATGTGACATCATTCCTATTTTATAAGATCTCGCGTCTTTCATCAACTACAAGTACCGCTTTCTAGTTTATAACATCTTGCATCTTTTCATCATCAGCTACAAGTACCACCATCTAGTAAACACTACAAGAACTAAACGAGAGGTGGCTACATACAGGAGACGGTACCGCCATCTAGTGAACACTGCAAGAACTAAACTAGAGGTGGCTACATACAGGGGACGGTACCGCCATCTAGTGAACACTGCAAGAACTAAACTAGAGGTGGCTACATACAGGCTACAGAGGACGCACAGCCCACGCCCTAAGGAGCTTCGCCCCTAAAACATGACTACATGCCACACTGATCATGCGCTCGTGGCCGTTTCACTAGCTTCACATATGCGAAATTGGTATTACGTGACGCCAATGGTTGACGAAGGTATGTGACTGATGCTAACATGATAATCATGAGATGCTTGTCATGTGAGAACATGACTACATGCTACAGTCAAGGCGCCAATACATTTCGACGTGACGCAGTGCGCGTGCTCGCCGGCGTTCCTTTAGCCACGTCACGCCGGTGTTGTCACGCCAGGCGCCGGTCCTGCCATATACACGCAGGCGCGCGCCGCGCTGCGTTGCTTTCACGCATGCACGTTTCAGCGTGTCTGGCGTCCCTCTCTCACAAAAAAGGGAGATGCAGTTTTGTCGGGGCAATGCATCGGTGCGAAATGCAGCATGTCACGTTTCGCGTCCGTTGTCGTCGGGTTGTCATGGACGCCGTCGCACCTGGCGTCAGAGTATAAAGTGCTCGCGTTTTGCTACCGTAGCGTCCCTGTGCCTAGTGTGCGCGCAAGTCAACGCTACATTGGAGTATATTGGGCCATTCATGATGCACTTGTGGCCATTTTGCTAGCTCCACATATACCAAATGTCGTGTTACGTGACGTCAATGGATGACGAAAATATATGACTGGTGCAAACATGATAATCCGGAAATGGTCTGCGCATGTCCTCCAAGAGCCTATATATTGTGAATGCTTCATGAAAATAAACTTAGTTTTGAGTTGGCGCTCTTTCTCTCTCGTCTTTTTTTTCTCTTTGTCAACCTTGCGCCACGTATTTCAGCATGATAATCCTGACACGCGTGCCTTGTAAGAACATGACAACATACCACGCTCATAGCGTGCTCACGGCCGTTTCACTAGCTTCACATATACTAAAGTTGGTATTACGTGACGTGAAAAAGATGACGAAGATAAACGACACATCAAACATAATTATCATGACACGGAAGTCATCTACGGCATCATTTACTTTCCCCTCATAACGATCTGCTGAATTTAAAGTGACATATCAACATTTCTCATTCGTGTTTCGCATATCATCGATTCCCACTGTACGTGGGATCTGCCTTTTTTTTTCCTGAGCAGTCCATGACTTGATAGATAATAAGGTTCCCTAATTGATTTGATTTGTGGGGTTTAACTTCCCAAAACCACCATATGAATATGAGAGACGCCGTAGTGGAGGGCTCCGGAAATTTCGACCACCTGGGGTTTTTTAACGTGCACCCAAACCTGAGTACACGGGCCTACAACATTTCCGCCTCCATCGGAAATGCAGCCGCCACAGCCGGGATATGATCCCGTGACCTGCGGGTCAGCAGCCGAGTATCTTAGCCGCTAGACCACCGTGGCGGTGCAGGTTCCCTAATAGTGTGCCAGTTTAATTAGTGATTCCCGTAATACACACACATATACATACATGGTGGTGATCCGTTCTTTCTTGCGTTCGGATGAATCACGAACATTGTCTTGTTCAAATTTCTGACACATTGCAATACACAGCAAAATACAAGGTAAATGTTACTTATTTAGAAGCTTCCAAAGAAGACCAAAAAAAAATAGCGGCTCGTGAGCTGCTAATGAGGCTTCGCACTACATGTTTGAGGAATGAACCCTTTGGCTGGAACAAGAAATACAGCGGATGTGACACTATATTTGATAAAGAATGTACGCGGTTTATTTTGGCGCTAGTTGAAAATTTGATGTAAAATAGTTTTGGCGCGCCCCCTAATTGCGAACAACTCGCACTGGGGCAATTTCTTCAAGACTGCGCTTTAAGTGAATACCAGCTAATCTGGCACTCCTTTGAAGTTTATTCACATTGAGTCGTCTAATGCCAGCTAAATGTGGTTAGGGGTACAATCACGTAAGACTACTCTCTTCAACATCTCTATAGTCCAGTGTTCGAATTATTAAACTGAGTTTAGAAATGTCCTCTACGGCTATTGAACGCTGGCAATTCTGTTTATTTCGTTGTCTTGTGGCAGTGTGCAGACTCCTGGAAAAAGGTGTTGTAGCAGTGCTGGGACCACGGAAGCCAGAAGCAGCTTCGCTGGTCGGCAGCGCTTGCGCTGGACAGCATGTGCCACACATCTTCTTGTCTCAGGAGTTTCAGCCCAATGCCGGCGTAAACGCGGCGTCGGTGTCTGTTAGCATGGCACCTCCTCACAGCGAGTTGGACAAGGCACTCCAAGATTTGGTGAAAGCTCAACGTTGGAAGAGTTTCACGATTGTCTACGAAAAGCCTAGGGGTGAGTGCAGTTTTGTTTTCTCTTTGTTGGCGAATACTCATTGGCAGCCTCCCCACGTGCTCCCGTGAAATCTCAGTATTTCATAACACTTCCACATCACTGTGAGCAAATATGCTGCCATATATGCATATATGCAGGAAACAAGCTAATGCATGCTTTCGATCTGGGTACTCGATTTTCTTGGTTATAGTTCGCCGGTATTTTATTGGGAAAACGCAGTTCTGTATTTCCCTATATACATCTGCTCGCTCATCCTTTCGCTTCATATTGCCCTAATGTAACCGGATAAATGACTGTAAACCTGTGCGACGAGACACTGCTGGTCACAAAAATAGGTATTACACTCCGTCTGAGCAACTGAATTGCTTATCTATGAAGGCTCATTTTCAGTCACTTTGGCTAATGAATAGAACGAAGGGTTGAAACATGTCGCTTTCACATTGAGTTCCGAAAGAACAAAAATGTTTCTTGCGCAGAACGTTTCAGAAGTCAGGCACACTCTTGGTCGAATCCTGGTAACATAATAATTGTTCAGGTTTAACGTCCGAAAACCATCATATCTTTATGAAAGATGCCATATAGTGGAGGGCTCCGGAAACTTAGACCGCCAGGGGTTGCTAACATGTGCCTAAAACCAAGCACATGGGCCTAAAGCATTTTCGCCTTGATCGAAACTGAGGCTGCGGCGGCGGCTGGGATTCGATCCCGTGAAGATGAGCAGCTGATTCCCTTAGCCCATGGATCACCGAAGCGGGTCGATATAGTTAATATACCTTATTCACCAGAATTAAAAATGTACGCCGATGACACCAATTTATTTTTTAAATCACGGGACCAGAATGAATCAGAATACAGTGTGAATCACTACCTTGTATCGCTAACTTGCTGGATGAATCAAAATAATTTGCAAATAAACGCTGAAAAAACCGAAAAAAATTATATTGAGGTTGTGCAATACGCCCATAAATAAGGAAATAACCATTACTTATGCAGGAATGAAACTGCAGCAGTGACAAACCAAAAGTTTCTTGCAGTGATATTTAATGAAGATTTAAGCTGGAACGCGCATATTAGCCAACAATGTGTAGACTTATGAAAAAGCATGGATATTATGTACAGAATTTCTAATTTAATTCCCCTATGGCTGAAACAACAGTTATACAATTGCCTTTTACATTCTAAGCTGTGCTATCGAGATTTGGTGTGGGGAACAACTACCAAAACTAACTACAAGAAATTTGTACTTCTACAAAAAAGGGTTCTTCGCATATACTGCAAACACCAAGGCAAATACGCAAACTTGAGGACAGCACCTTTATTTCAAAGATATCATATGCTTCGTGCTGATCAAGTCTATTACATGAAAATATTGCAAATCATATACAGCGAAAATTGTATGAGCCCAACGAAGGAGCTAGACAACACACTTATCCTAACCGCCAAATCTTAGCCATCCCCAACGAACACGAACAAATTATGGGAAACAAACTTTCACCCATCAAACAATTTGCATATTAAACAAATTAGAACATAAGATTAATTTTGATTGTAAAGAAAAAGCATCTAAGGTACAATTTAAAGAAGTGCTAATGCAGGAAAACATACTTTTCGATGGATCCTAAAAATACTGATGTTAGCAATGGTAGTAGTCGGACGATAAAAATCTTGTTCTACATGTATTTCATTAAGTATAAAATATAATGGCATGTATCACGTGTCTCTAATGTTCTAGTCTGATTCTTTCCTGAGTGATTGTTATTTGAGTGTGTTATGTAGTAAGTATGTTACAAGATTTGTACAGTCAATCAGATTCAATGTAACATGATATGTTTTGGCTGCTATCTTTTCTTTGTTGCTTCTTTTGTTCATGAAGGACTGATGCCGCAAAAGCTGTTTTTTTATTTTCAGTTTTTTGATGTACGAACTGTGTACAAGTGTGTTAAGTCCTCCGTCAGGCTATATGCCTTTAGCCCCAACATCCTTTTGTTTCTTGTGTCTTGTAAAAGAAATTTTGAAATTGAATTAAAAATTGAATTGGAAAATTTTTTAGCTACAATACACGCCAGCAAGCAATAAAGTCAGTCAAATTATGGCTGTTTCAAGTCAGTTTGTTGTCCAGAGGAAGCGACCCTGTACTAAATGGCCTTTGAAATAGACGTGACGGCCCTTGGTCAGGATTGGTCGAGAGGCTCATTCCAAAGAGCCATGGAGCGTTGGCGAGCGAGCATGCGGAGCCTCCTAGCAGCGTCCGTCCTTGAGAGAGATATTGACTGGTTGTTGTCTTCTGTATGGGCTGAACGGGCAGCTTGATCAGCTCGTTCGTTACCGATAATTCCACAGTGGCTTGAAAACCACTGAAATATAACGAGGTGCCCTTTCTCTGTTATATGGTGTAGCATTTCTGCTGTTTCAAATACCAACTGCTCGTGTGGACCACAGCGCAGATTTGACAGAAGTGACTTCAGTGCCGCTTTGCAGTCGCAGAAAATCGTCCACCGTTGCGTGCTTTGGTCGGTAATGAAACGCAGCACAGCGCGAAGCGGTGCAAGCTCTGCGGCCGTTGTTGTAGTTGCATGAGCTGTCATAAATTTGATGGTTGTGGCGTGCATTGGAATAACGACCGCCGCAGATGAGCTGTTAAAAAGGACGGAGCCGTCGGTGTAGACGTGGGTGCAGTCTTGGTACTTCTCGTACAGCAGAATTAAGGCGAGCTGCTTGAGGGAAGGTGTAGATAAATCTCGTTTTTTCTGGATGCCCGGTATTGTCAGGTTGATGACTGGCTGTTTGAGGCACCATGGAGAAACGGAAGGTCTCGCCGCGGGCGTAAAACCAGTTGGTAGAGTGTCAAGATGTGCAGTTATTGTTCGACAAAAGGAAGTATGAGGTCTATCCGCTGGTAGAGAGGCTAGCTGGTGATGGGGAGTCCGGCCGACATGCCTTATGTGTGTCCTCAAAGCTTAAATTTCAATATGGGTCTGCATGAGGTGGTCTTTGGCTATAGCTAGAGTCGCCATTGTTGAGGCACTCTGAGGCAGACCTAGACATATTCGAAGCGCCTGTGCCTGAACGCTTTGTATCATGCGTCGACTTGTTTTGCTGGCATTTGATAATGCAGGCAGACTGTATCGTAAAAAGCCAAGGAAAAGCACCCTGTACAGTCGTAACATAGCATTAGGCTGCATTCTCCAAGTCTTTCCAGCGAGAAACTTGAAAAGATGGCATATGCCTGTCAATCGCTTTTTCAAATACGACACATGAGGGCTCCATGATATGTCTCTGTCGACTATTACTCCCTGAAATTTGTAAGATCGACGATATGGTATATTTTGACCGTCAATTGACACTCTGTAATTCGACATAGGTTTGCGCGTAAATGCCAAAAGAGCGCACTTTCCGGAGGAAACTTCCAGGCCTCGATTACGCAGATACAAAGCAGTTGCAGTAGCACCTCTCTGCATTCTCACTCGTAACTGCAGGCGAGTTACCACAGATGTCCAGATGCAGATGTCATCAGCGTATGTTGATAGATAAATATTGTTTGGTAGGTGCGTATCGAGAGCGATTAGTGTTATATTGAATGGGGGATGACCGCAAACCTCTAACCGTCCTTTATATCTGCGATAAAGGCTTACGAGGGTCGAGTGATTCGCAGAAAGTAATCCAGCGTTGGAATTCTAGCTTGTCCAACCGACATTTGATCTTTTGCATACGTCTAGCAGTCCGTAAATCTTCTATGTCCTTCGTGCGCCGGTACCTTCTTTCAGCTCGTCGTCGCAAGGCTCGAAGCCGCTCCACCTCTATGTCGATGTCCATGATTCCTACAGGGCATGGGATCGTACACACAATCTCTTTTACAGCGCTCTTGATGGCCTCTTGCAAATCGGATATGTGTTCTTGGCATTGGTCTTCCATACGAGACTGAAATTTTTTCCAGTCCACTCTTTTAACCATGTCGTGGAGGTTAGGAGTTGACAATCCTCTGATCTTGAAGTATGTTGGAATGTGATCACTCCCATGCGTTTCTATATCCGTGAACAATTCAGTATGTTTTATTAGGCTTCGCGAAACAAAAGCCAAGTCGAGACAGCTACTGTATGTGGATCCACGTAAAAATGTAGGACTGCCATCGTTCAGTAACCAAATTTTGTTGTCGGAGGCAAAAGACGCCAAGTTTCTGCCCTTCATGTTCATATTCTGACTTCCCCATGATGTATGATGAGCGTTAAAATCCCCAATAACAACACACGGGTCAGGAGTTAACGCAATGATGTCTCGTAGTCTTTTTTGATCGAAACGGCTTGATGGTGATAGGTATGCGCCAACCACAGTTATGGTGAGCCTCCTCTTTTTCGCTCTTAAGCATACGTATTGGTTTCCGTCAGGAGGTGGTTTAGGTTGAAGAATGTAAGTGAGGTCTCGGCGAATGTACACCAGAACCTTGATGCTTTCAGTAACAGTAGACGACATAAAAGGTTCGTATCCCGAGAGTCGTACTGCACTCGATAAGTTCGGCTCACAGATGACGATTACGGGAAACATATTGACGTACACAAATCGACGAAAGTCACCAATGCGTGATCTCAGTCCCCTGGCATTCCATTGCAGTATTGCTGCTTTACGAACCTCATCCCTGAAAGACAGCGGTGGGTTAGCCGTGGTCTACTCTAGGGCTGCTAACACTGGACTAAGCGCGTCTAGTACTTGAAGGGCACTTTTGGCTGACGGTGTATTCAAGTCGCTTAACAACACGCAAATGGTGTCCACTAATGATCTTAGCATCACCATCACGCGATGATCTGGCTTCCTGGCCGTTGCAGCATCTTGTGCTTGTTCTTGAGGCGGCTTCTGTTGAGGCTCAACAGGTCGTGTAGGCGGCTTCTGTTTAGGCTCAACAGATGTTCTAGGCTGAAGGGGTGGCCATTTCTTTGGAGAGAGAGAGATCTCCCTGCATCTTCTCTTTCAGCGGAGATGTTTGCCGTGCTAGGAGCCGCACCTGTCGA